GCCGCATTTGCTGCCGACGCACGAATTTGCTCGACTCCCAAACCTTATAAACCCTAAACCCCTAAATCTAAACCCCTATAAGGCCTTAAACCCGAAACGCTAAACTTCTAAACCTTAAAACCCGGTACAACCCCTAAGGTGGAGGGCAGCGGGGGCAAGAGGGCCGCCAGTGCCACGCTGCTGAATCAAGCGATGTCCTTCGCCGCTGTAGCCGGTGTGACCATGTGGCTCGGAACAAAAGCAGTGCCTGAGTGCCTCTACAACTAATTGCCAAAACCGACGTTTTGTCTAGGGTCCTTATCAAATCTACACCGGGGTTTATAATGAGAACCAACAAAAAATCGAAGTTTTAGGAAGTCTGCTTCGGGCTCTGCAGAAGCTTCGTGCTGAGCTTTGTTGCGCTCTTGAGGTCCGGCGCCATGCAGACGAGCACCTTCAAGAACGATCTCGACAATGCGGCACAGGACCCCAGACCCCGCTTCTCGTGCTGGCACCCTTCTGTCCCTGCTTTTGCTCCCAAGTTGTTCATAGGCTCGCGTAGCTCGCCATCGCAGGTTGCTCTGCAGATGTTGGCTCTGCCGGCATCCGTCGCCCAAGGGCAAGGCTCCAGCGACGGCGGCAGCAGCAGCATGTCAGGCCAGTGCCTGCTGCAGCTGCTTGACATGGACAGCAGCATCCACCACGTCCACCTGCTGATGTCCCTCTGGCCTGCGCTGCTGGTGGCACCCTGAGCCGCATTGAGTGGATGCCTTATATAAAGCTTTCAGTCAGTCATCCCTGGACCAGGGCCAACCCAAACTGCTCCGAATTTCAGCGCGTCTTTCAGCCGACCCTACAACCCCAAACTAGAAGCCCTAATTTTACAATAAGCCATCCTAGACCCTGAAAATCCTACAAATACAACCCCTGAAACCCTAAACCCTCAACCCTAAACCTTAAAACCCCAGACCTTCATTACATAGCTCTCAGGCCGGCCTTGCTGCGTGGAAGGGCGGTTGGCTTGCGGCCGTGGTTGGGAGCAACGTCTTCCTTCCAGCCTTCGTCGCCGGATTCGGAAAGTGCCTGGGTGGCCCTTGCAAAGCCTTGCTTTAGGATTTATATGGTTCAGGGTCATAGATAACTTCTATAAGTGCTTCAGGTTTAGAGGGTTCTCTAACATCGCATGGCCCAGGTACCTCGTGGCCTTCCGGCTGCGGCCTGAATCAGAAGACGAGGCCATCGGCATCGGCATGCCTGGTTGGCCTCCGCGCAGGGTAATTAGTCGTCTGAGGTTCAGGGTATATACAGTTTAGGGTTCCAGTTAAGAGCGCGCACGCTTCAGGCGCTGCATCTGGATTTTCTTCCCCCCGGGCCGCAGATGAGTTCCTACGTTCCGCTGCGGATCGCAGCAGTGCTGGGTGCCATCGTTGGCTTCTCCGCGCTGAGCGTGTGCAGCTGGATCTACGCCGTGCCTTGGTCGCCAGAGATAAAAATTGTTCAGACGCCGTTCGAAGCAGAGCAGCGCAGAGCCGACGAACACTCGAAGCTCAGATGACTTAAACGCTGTAAACCCTGAACCAGTAAGCCCTATATAAGCCTGAAGCCGCAACAGGTCAGAACCCGATTGCCGGAGGAGACACGGCCGCACGTGGCCTATTTGATTCAGGCAGGCCGACCGGAGTCCTGAACCTGTAAACTCAAAACCCGAAAAGCCTACACCCCCAAAAACCCTTCAACCCCAAACCCTGAACCCTAAACCCGAAACTCTAAACCCTAAACCCTAAACCCTAAACTCTACAACCCTAAACCTTAAACCCTCAACCCTACATTAAAAGCCACCCTAAACCCCAGAGCTCTGCCAGGCCTACCGACCGGAGTGTGCCATTTGGGAGGCCAGCCTTGTCTTGTCGGATCGACCCTTTAGTCGGAGCCTTAAGAACGCTTCCTTTAAAGGGTTCCCATAGGGTTTTGATGATGACTGTATGATAGTTTGGGGCTTCAGAGTTTGGGGGTTTGGGTTTAGGGCTCTACTGATTTAGGGTTTAGGGTTTAGGGCAGCTCGAATTGGTTTGTTCCTCTCTTTGGCGCTTCGTTGTTGCGTCTCGGGGTAAACCAATCGGTGAAGTGCCTGCAAGTATAAGCTACCATGACCGCCAGGTGGAGCGGCTGATGCGTAAGGCCTGCATTGGGGGTCGGGGAGGGTGACCATTCGTGCAGCATCCGTACCACTGGTTTCACATGGACTGGAGGGCTCCTGGACGGCTCAAGCGCACATGACATGCAGGATTTCTGTGGGTCAAGGTCATGGTAGGACCTTCATGGTGTGCACGTCCACAATCAGCCGCAAACCTGAAAAAGAGCTTTTCTGTGCCTCTAAGCCGTATAAATGAAACCCAAAACCATAAAGCCAAAATCTAAACCTAAACCCTAAGCGGGAGAGAAGAGTTCCTGCCAGGTGGTGCTTTCGCTGATCGCCACCGTCCTGCCTGTCACTTTGTCGCCCGTGGCCTCGTCGGCACAGCAGCACAGGGCACCCCGAAAAAGATTGCACTACTTACCTACCAAAACACCAAGCTACATACATACAGGCCCTGCCTACTTACCTACGTGCATGCCTGCCTGCCTACTTACCTACCTGCCTACCTACCTATTACCTACCTACTTACCACCTACCTACCTACTTACTTACCTACCTACCTACCTACCTACCTACCTACCTACCTACCTACCTACCTACCTGCCTCCCAGCCCTGCTGAGCTGCCTACCTTCTTACCTGCCTACCTACTTACCTACCTGCATACCTTCTTACCTGCCTACCTACTTACCTACCTGCCTACCTACCTACCTACCTACCTACCTACCTACCTACCTACCTACCAAAGTATGTGGACCCAGGATGAAGTTCACCAGCAAGTTGATGGAGCTTCGAGGAGACGGCAGATTGTAGCT